ATACCATGGACTGCCAGAAGAACAAACAAATCGTTCTTAGAAGAAATACAACCAAAATGTTCTTTAGAAGCGAAGATGGTGAGACTTAGGCTCACTTACTTTGGACATGTCATTAGGAAAGACCAATCACTACAAAAGGACATCATGTTTGGTAAAGTGGAGGGTCAGCGAGAATGAGGGAAACCCTCAATGAGGTGGATTAACAATAGCCACAACAATGGACTCAAACATACCAACGATCAGGAAGATGGCACAGGACCCAGCAACATTTCATTCTATTGTATGTAAGGTTGCCATGAGTTAGGGTGAACTCAATAGCAACTAACACCAAAAACAACATCCCATTTTCAACTCATTAATCCTTCACAGGGATGCAGCACTTTATAGTTTACTGTACCTCTTCTCCTTCATTAGCTCATGGAATCCTCACAATAATCAAGGTTCACTGAGTACTTACTCTGTATTAGATACTATCCTAAGCATTCGTGTATTAATTCATTCAGTCCTCACATATGATGTTGGTGCTATTATGTTATTCCTATTTTACAGATGAGGAAACAATGCAAGTACTAAGCTCTCTGATTGTCTGGCTTTAACTGGGTCTGAATTTTAGAATATCTAGAGCAGAGGTTGGGGACTTCATAACCCACACATGTTTTTAGCGTTAACCCATCAAGTCGTTTTAAATATTTAAACACATTTAAAATCAGATTTCATATGCAAATCTACATTTACTGCTTCTCCTGAATATTATTAAAAAAAAAAAAAGTTGCCATTAAGTCAATTCTGACTCATAGTGACCCTATAGGACAGAGTAGAACTGCCTCATAAGGTTTCCAAGGAGCAGCTGGTGGATTCGAACTGCTGACCTTTCGGTTAGCTGCTGAGCTCTTAACCAGTAGGCCACCAGGGCTCCCATGAGGGAATAGGGTTTCCTGAATTACCAGTGGTTATGATATTCGAGGAGCCCTGGTCGTGCGGTGGTTAAGAGCTTGGCGGCTAACCAAAAGGTCAGCAATTCAAATCCACCACCTGCTCCTTGAAAACCCTATGGGGCAGTTCTACTCTGTCCTACAGTGTCGCTATGAGTCAGAATCGACTTGGGTTTGGTTTTCGGCTTTTTTATTCCCTCATGAGTACAATCAACAGAAAGTTAATAGCAGCCTCCCCTTAGGTGAGGAAGGTGCTGTCTACTTTCCCACAGTCTCCACCCTTCTCTATTGTCTCCCTGACATTGAGGTTGAGTGTCAGTTGCCATTTATAGTTGGGCTTGCACTGTTGTTTTTCTTACAGAGAGGAATTTCTCTGAGCCCATGTTCTTTCTCAGAAGTAAGAAAAGGAGAGAATGAGAGAGCCAGCTGTTTTAAGAGAAAAGAAAGAGGATATTTTCTGTAGCAGCGATGAGTAAGCCTACTTCTTAATGAACAAATGAATACCCAGCATTCTTCCTCTATGTACATGGCTGCCTGAACCCTGTAGCCATTTTAGTTTGTGAGCCTGTTGACCAGATGCCCTTCAGCCAATCCAGGACAAGGGCCCTATCTCACCCATCTTGACTTCCCTGGAGACAAACAGCTGGCTGGCTATCAGAGAAGGTTGCTGAATGAATGACATGATCCCATTTCCTCTGGTTGTTGTGAGGACTCAGTGCACGGTAAACCATTTGGGAATTTCTAAATTACTAGATAAATGTAGGTTATCATGATAATGGTACTGATGGTGGTGTGTCAAGACAAGGACACATCCAGGTTTGGCAAGGGTATATTTGTGAAGGGGAAAGGAGAAGAGCCCCAAGGCTCACTAGGAGATAGCCACACTCTGTGCATAATAATAACCATGCCCTCTACCCCTTCAACCGAGGCTCTGCCGTGTGCTACGTTCCTTATCCCTTTACCCAACGTTTGACCTCTGTCACTGAAATCTTAACCTGTTGCCATCCAGTCGATTCCGACTCATAGCAACCCTATAGGACAGAGTAGAACTACGCCATAGGGTTTCCAAGAGTGTAATCTTTACGGAAGTGGACTGCCACATCTTTCTCCCATGAAGCGGCTGGTGAGTTTGACCCACCAACCTATTGGTTAACAACCAAGTGCTTAACCACTGCGCCACCAGGGCTCTTTATTAAAAACTTAAGCCAAAAAAAAAAAACCCAAACCCACTGCTGTCAAGTAGATTCCAACTTAGGAGGTGGTTATTAACCCTATTTTAAAGATGAAACTTGTGAGGCTCAGAAAGGGGTTGTGACTTGCAAGGCCAAACAGCTAAAAAACATAGTGGATCCAGAATTCTAACCCAGATCTATTTTATCTAAAAAGCAGGGTCTTTTAGCTACTATTACACATACCTACATGCAACACACACACAGTTGATCCATGCTGCAAATCTGGCCATGGGATCCCACCTTTCTCTGTCCAGACATATCCATAGCCTAGTCAACTGCAGCACCAGCTGGACTGTGTCAGGTCTGGAGTCCGATTATTATTATATATTTTTTTACGTAATCCTGAGCCTTGATTTTCTCTTCTGTCCTTGCAGATAATATTATTTATCTCAGATAGCTGTTGTGAGGTGCAAGAATTAAATTAGGAAATAGATGTAGAACATCCATCCATCCATCCACCTATCCATCTGTGCATCTCACCATTCCAACAAATATTTATTGAATTCTCGCTATGTGATGAGCACTGCGTAGGGGCTGGGAAGAAGGGAAGTAAGGACATCCTACAAAGTGGGTAGAGATGGGAGCAGTGAGGGGCTGCTGGTTATATTATTATTTATTGAGTCCCTTTGGGAGGGACCCTGTGGTGCCTATGGCTTAGACTGTCCGCCATGAGCTGACTGTCTGACTTCTTTGAGGAACAATAAGTCTTCTCTGCCCACAGGATCAACCAAGTCTTACAATTGTGTCTTCACCATGGATTAAGCACCTACTACACACCTAGCCCTTTAACTACGCTGCTTGTCCCTGACTTCATCGTAAGTCAGTTCTGACGTAAGTCAAATACGCCCCACCTCCTTTTTTTTAAGTTTTCCTTATTATTGTCTTTTATTATCAATACCTTTATAAAATCTGATCTTTACTCGTCGACGTCAGTGTGGTAACAATGAAGCCGGAGTCGTAATGGCTGTCAGGCACTTGTGCAGTTCAATTGTCATATGTCGTTAGAGTTGAACATTGCCAAACTTTCTATCCTTTAGTACTCCCAATACTGACACCGACTTCATTATAGACCAGGTCATAGCCTGCTATACGGCAGTGTTTTGATCAGTAAGTCATAACACTGAACATCCGCGAGTGAACATCTGAGAACAATAGCATTAGCAAACTACGCGCTTCAACATTGTAGGTAGTACATATTACTGATGATAAAACGTACCAAAAAAAAACAGTACTGCCGGTCATAGCATGGTTTGTCATAACTCAGATATGTTGTAAATTGGGGACTACCTATACTGTTTAAATCACTCCACCCTCTGTGAGATAGGTCCTGTTGTTATCTCCATTTTACGGATGAGGAAATAGGTTCAGAAAGGGGAAGTGACTTGCCCAAGGCCACACAGCAAGTGTATGAGAAGGATCCCCGGGCTGTTTGGTCTCCAGCCACTGTTATTTCCACTGCACGACGCACCCCTGCTTGACGGTGGATCAATATGAGGAAGATCCCTGGGCTAGCGTCAGGAGACCAGCCTTTTTCTCTCACTGCCATCTGTCCTCGGGTAATGATGATAAAATGAGGTAATATTTATTAAGTCCTCACAGTGTTCATGGTGCCAAGTGCTTTACACCTTTGCTCTCTTGCAGTCCTCACCATGACCCCAAGACAGGTCCTAGTATTATCTCCACTTCACAGAGGAGGAAACTAAGGCACAGAAATGTTGAGTTATTTCCCCAAAGTCACAGAACTTGAACTGAGATCTATTGGATTCCAGAGGCCAAGATTCATGCACGTGTGGTTTAAATCAGCTTCTAAAATGCACATAATTTTTTAAAAATGCAAAGGGGGAAACAATAAAAAGTGAAACAAACAAAAATTCTGTTGAATATCCCTCCTCAGAAACAAAACTGTTACCAGGGTCTTTGTGTCCTTCCGCTAACTTTTATGCAAATGCAAACGTGTATGTGTATGCATGTTCGTAGTCATATCTGTTTTGTTACCACAAATGTAATATGCTATACACACCGTCCTTCAGCTTCCTTTTTTTCACTTGGTATCTTGGAGAGCCTTCCCTCTCTGCACACAGATCTGCACAGAAGTCCATCGCAAAGATGCACCATGATTAATTTTCCTCAGGCATTGGGGTTGCTTCCAATTTTGAGATCACCCCAGGCAGTGGAACGTGAAGTATTCAATGCCAGTTACATACGCTTTCCTAGCCTTGCACGTAAGTTTCACACATCCAGCACACACTGATCTCATTTTCCAACGCCCCACGCTATGTGTTGCTTTATATTTCTTCCCTCTGATGAATTATTCAGAGCTAATGGCCCTCAGGAACTGTGCAAGGACCAAGCTGACTTTCCCCTGGAATTCATAAGGCTAGGGTTGCATCCCCAGGTCAAGATCGAGACTCATCTAGATGATCAAGACCCAACAAGGCTCTCTTTGGGCCTCAGTTTGACCCCAAGGCAAAATGGGAATGACGCTTCCAGCTTCCCACCCTCTGTGGAATTTTGGAAAGACTCTTGGAATGCATCCCAGGAAAGCCCTGTCTTTCTAGGCGGGTTACTAAGTGAGCCAAGCCCCTTTCCCGGGGTTGCCCAGGGCTTCTGCGGCCCTTCCCAGCACTTCCAGCACGAAACGGCCATACCTCTGTTTCAGGGCTTAGTGAAGCAAGCCACGTGCCTCCCCTGGGCCTCCTGCCATTCTCCAGGAGCCCTTGGAGGGTCTTTGAGCCCAGCAGAAACACATGGAGGGTCCCATCTATGCCTTTCAAACCTGACCATGGTCCCACCCTGTCCAGTCCTCCCTCCAGCCCCAGCAGCTGTCCTCACTCACCATAGGGACTCTCCACTGGTGCCCCGAGGGGCGCGTTCACACTGACCATGGCCAAGCCCACCCAGCCAGAGACCTTGGGGCATGGAGGAGCTGGCGTTACACACAGCAGCGGCAGGGCCACTGGGAACCAGGCCACCAGGAAGGCAGTGAGCAAGGCCAGCTGCCACCGCCTGGTTATCTTATTGATTCTTCTAATCGCCTAAGGTGGGTGGATACGTTAAAGAGTAACCAGTCACTTAGGGAACCTGCGGCTGGGGACTGTCGCTGTCACCATGACAACGTCGACCTAGCTAGACCCGAGCTCCACTTGGGCCCCAGTCCTGCACACTGGGGTTGGGGGCACTTGAAGCCAAATATGGGGGACACCAGCACCTCCACCACTTGAAGGAAGGGACTGGCCAGGAGGGTTTGGGAGGTAAGAGTCCAACCTGGGTTGGGTTTTATGGCTCCAAACAATGGGTGTGGCATGGCGTGGGAGGAGTAGAAAAGCCAGGAAGCAGGAGAAGAGGAAAGAGGAAGGGTAGAAAACTGCATTTATTGAGTGCCTACTGGATGCTGGGAGTTGCTCACAGGCATTCGCAATTTTAAATTCAACCCTGAGAGTCTGGGATGATTATTCTAATCTAACCGACAAGGAAACTGAGACAGAGAGAGAAATTAGAGGACTTGGAATTAGAACTCATAATCTCCCCTTCATCTTACATATATTTATTCTCCCCTTTTTTTGCTCAGCATAATGTTTCTGAGGAGTCCCTGGGTGGTGCAAATGATTAACGTGCATGGCTGCTAACCAAAATTTGGAGGTTCGAGTCCACCCAGAGACACCTTAGAAGAAAGGTCTGATGATCTACTTCCAAAAAAACGGCCATTGACATAATATAGTTCAAAAGTTTATGTTCTACATCCTACTTTGGTGAGTAGTGTGTGGGGTCTTGAAAGCTTGCAAGCAGCCATCTGAGATAAAACAATTGGTCTCTTCTTCTCTGGAGAAAAAGAGAAAGAAAGAAACCAAAGACTCGGAGAAGAAACTAGTCTATAGGACTAACAGTCTACATGAACCACGGCCGCATCTACCCTGAGATCAGAAGAAATAGATGGTGCCCAGCTACCACTAACAACTGTTCTGATCAGGACCACAATAGATGGATTCTGACAGAATGGGAGAAAAATACAGAACAGAACTCAAATTCTTAAAAAGCCCAGACTTACTGGACCAGTTGAGACTACAGGACTCCCTGAGACTATTGGCCTGAGATATTCCATAAACCTTAAACCAAAACTACCCCCTGAGATCGTCTTTTAGCTAAATAACATTGGCTCATAAAATAAATAATAATACTACCACTGTGCATTTTGCTCCTTTCAAAAATCATCCATATGAGACCAAATGGTCAAGAATTACTCTAAAGCAAAGATGAAGGGATAAGGGGACAGGGAAATCAGATTACTGGAAACAGTGAAACATCCAGAATAGAATTAATGAAAATGTTGACACGTTATGAAAAATGTAACCAATGTCACTGAACAGTTTGTGTAGTAATTGTAATTGTAGTAATTTGTGGTAGTGGATTGCAGTAATTTGTGGAGCCTAATTTGCTGTGTAAACTTTCACCAAAAACACAATAAAATATTATTTTTTTAAAAATCAGCCATTGAAAAGCCTACAGAGCACAGCTCTACTCTGACACACATGGAGTCACCACATGTTGGAGTAGACTCAACAGGAACTGGTAACGTAAGGTAATGTTCATGAAATTTATCCATGTTTTTACTATCAGTGGTTTGTTGCTTTTTATTGCTTAGTAGTATTCCACTGTACAAATATACCACAATTTGTTTGTATAATTACCTGGTGATGGACAATCAGCTTGTCTCCAGTTTGGGGCTATTATGAATTACTGAAAACCATAACCAAACCCTTTGCCATCAAGTCAATTCTGATTCATAGTGACCCTATAGGACACAGTAGAACTGCCTCATAGGGTTTCCAAGGAGCGACTGGTGGATTTGACCTGCTGACCTTTTGGTTAGCAGCGGAGCTGTTAACCACTGCACCATGGCTGTGTTATGAATTAAGCAGTTAGAAATACTCATGTACAAGTCTTTGTGTGGACCTATTTTTCATTTCTCTTGGTTAAATTTCTACGAGTGGAATTTCTGGTTGATATGATAGGTGTATGTTTAATTTATAATAAACTGCTAAACTGTTTTCCAAAGTGGTTGTACCATTTTTCATTCACACCCACAGTGTAAGAGAGTTCCTGGCTGCTCCACATCCTCATCAGCATTTGTTGTTGTTAGTCTTTTTAACTTTAACCATTCTAGTGGATGGGATCTTTCCTTTTGCTTTCATTTGTTTGTTTTAACTCATTTTATTAACTGAAAAAAATTAATGCATTCACATGTTAAAAATAAAAATTGCACCAACAGTATTTAATGAAAAGTAAGCCTCCCTCCCACCTTAGTTTAGTTCCCAAATCTCACTCTACCAAACTTTTTAACAAATCCTTGTGTATATTTCCAGAAATTACATACACACACACAGAGTATAAATGCAGATAGATAGATAGATAGATAGACAGACAGACAGCTGCCGTCAAGGCAACTCCCGCTCATGGAGTCCTTACGTACAACAGAACAAAAAGTTGCCAAGTCCTGCCTCATCCTCACAATCACCAGCATGTTGGAGTCCATTGCTGTGGCTGCTGTGCCAGTCCATCTCAATGAGGGTCTCCTTCATCCCTGATGGCTGTCTGCTTCACCAAACATGATGTCCTCCTCCAGCTACTGATCCCACCTGATGACATGTCCAAAGCGAGTCGGACCATGTTCTCTTATGATCCATAAGGTTTTAACTGGCTAATTTTTGGGAGATTCCCAGGACTTTCTTCCTAGTCTGTGTTAGTCTGGAAGCTCCACTGAAACCTGTCCACCATGGGTGACCCTAATAGTATTTGAAATACTCATAGCATAGCGTCCAACCTGGTAACAACACAAAAACCACCACAGTACAAGAAACTGACAGATGGGTGGTGACATATAAATACAGGAAATATACTGAACCCACTTTTACAAATTGTTTTTTCCCACTTAATGTCTAAGAACTGTCTTCATATCAGCATATCTTCCTCATTCTTTTGAGTAGTTACATAGTATTCCGTTGTACAGATGCGCCATAAGTGATTTTACCAGCTGCCATTGCAGGACATTTAGGTTGTTTCCAGGCTTTTGCCACTACCAACAATGAACATCTTTGTCTACATGTTTTGAACCACATGTGGGAGTATGCCTGTAAGACAAATTTCTAGAAGCAGCATCCTATCAACTCTTAAATATGCTGTAATATCTCTTTTATTTTAAAAAAGCTTCCTCAATAGCCACCTTCCCCATCTCAGCTACTACATTCCCTTTTTCAAATAGTTGTCTACAAAACTATCTCTATTTTTCCATCTCCTGTTTACATCACAAGAAGCCCTGATGGTGCAGTGGTTAAGTGCTTGACTGCTAACTGAAAGGTCAGCGGTTCGAACCCACTCAGCAGCTCCATGGGAGAAAAGACCTGGCGATCTGCTCCCATAAAGATTACAGCCTAGGAAATCCCATGGGGCAGTTCTACTTTGCCATATAAGGTTGCTAGGAGTCGGAATCAACTCAAGGGCACACAATAGTTTACACACAACCCTCTGTAATATGACTTCTGCCCCACCACCATCTACCAACACCACTGAATCTTCATTGTCAAGGTAAGAACATCCCCTTTGCCTAAACATTCAATGCAGATTTTACTAGACCCTCAGCATCGTTTGACAGTTCACCCTTTTTGCTTTAAATACCCTCTTCCTTTGGTGTCTCTATTACTACAGCCTTCTGATTTTTCTCCCTATTTGACTGTTCTTTTCTTTTCTGTCTCTTGCCATTTCGTGCTTCTCTACCTGTCCTTAAATACTAGAGTCTCCTGGGGCTTAGTTCTGGACTTAATTCTTTTTTTCTCTCTATAATATCTCTTTTCATAATCTTATTTATTATCATGGCTTCAATGACCATCCATACACCTGTGATTACCAATTGTGTATCTCCAGCCTAAGTTTCTCCCCTAGAGTCTGGATTCCTCTATCCAACTGCCTCCTAGATATCTCCACTGACACGTTTCACAGACATCTCCATTATGATATGCCCCTGATTGCACTTCTGCTCTTTGCTTCCATCTAAACTCTTTCTCCTATACTCCCCATTTTGGTAGAAGGACACCTTCATTAACAAGTGTCCCTGTTATGAATTGAATTACATACCCCAAAAATATGTGTTGTAAATCCTAATCCCTATACCTGTGGTTGGAAACCCTGGTGGTGTAGTAGTTAAGAGCTACGGCTGCTAACCAAAAGGTCAGCAGTTCGAATCCACCAGATGCTCCTTGGAAACCGTATGGGGCAGTTCTACTCTGTCCTATAGCATTGCTATGAGTTGGAATTGACTCGAAGGCAAGGGGTTTGGTTTATACCTGTGGTTATAGTCCCATTTGGGAATGGATTTTCTTTGTTGTGTCAATGAAGCAGTACTAGTGTAGAGTGTGTCTTAAGCCAATCTCTTTTGAGATAATAAAAAGAGCAGACTGAGTAAGCCACAAGGCAAGTGAGCAATGATGGGGAAAGATAGATGCTATGCCACATGAAGATCACCAAGGAGCCCAGGAATAAAAGGTGAAGGACCTTCCCCTAGAGCTGACAAAGGGAGAAACCTTCCCCTAGAGCCAGTGCCCTGAATTCAGACTTCTAGCCTCCTCACTGTGAAAAATAAATTTCTGTTTGTTAAAGCTACCCACTTGTGGTATTTCTGTTATAGTAGCACTAGATAACTAAGACAGACCTTATTGTCTAAGTCTTGAAAACTGGGAGGCATCCTTCATTACTTCCTCTTTCATGCACACACTCACGTCCCCATAAATTCCACCCCCTAAACATCACAGTGGTTAAAGCTCTTGGCTGCTAACAGAAAGGTTGGCCGTTTGAGCCCACCAGCTGCTCCTCGGAAGAAAGATGTGGTAGACTGCTTCCAT